CCAATCCTTACCGAGCCCCCGGGTGGGCCCGCGGACTTCCGCTCCAACGGGCTCCTAAAACAAGGTTTAGCGCCCTCCTCTCCGCCTGACACAAACCGGCCCCATTTCCCGGCTGGGCCCCGAGTGAGGCCTGCGCGCCTCCTCTCTCGGTGCTTATGCCGCAAACGGCTCAAGTCTGTCCCCGAATGCTTCGTGTCCCGCCGCTCCTTCTGCTGCCCACGGTTCGTCGGCTCGCTTCGTATCCGGGAGGGCGAGGGAGGGAAGAGAAGGAGCAATTGCCAAATAGTCTCCGTCGTCCTCTCTGTTCGCTTCTCTCCCACTCGCGCGCACACAGAAAGAGACAGAAGGGAGACGGCCGGCGCAGCCAGCACAACTGCGCGTGCGCGACTGCGCTGAAGTAAGAAGCAATGAGCCTATCTCTAAGCTGGAGAGTTCGGTTTGTTCCTTTTCCAAACGCAGTCAATAAGAGCTCGCGAGATTTTCCGTCTCTCTTTTCTCCCGCCCCTCTGTACCGGAACATTTGGCAGGCAACTTCCGAACGTATCCTTGCTTCTCGAGCTCAGAGATACAACAGTTCTAAGTGGTAATCTCGCGAGTCTTCCGGTTTTGCATTGATGTCAGTCGAATCCTCCATGTGCGGGGGAAGAGCAGCGGTATTAAGTAGGACTGAAGAGCCATTCAGATAAAATGCGGTCAACTCAAGTTATAAAGTTCTATATTTAAAGGACGTTGAATGGGGAGGGGCCCTTTTCTTGGCACTATTTACTCTTATTTTGTTATTTCCTTGCTGTATTAAGTAGAAGCTCTCCTGACCTTGCTTCCTCTCGATTTATGGGAAAAATTAGCGTACGGATGTGTAGTAATTGGGAGACGAAGGCGGCGACTTTTAACTTGCTTTAAATATCAGCCCCTCTCCAACCCAAAAGTGGAAATTTACAGTTAAGAATATACCCCTTCGCTGTTACAGGAAGCTAGGAAGGCCCCTTGTATCACTTCTGCTTGTTTGGCAAAGTTTTAAACTCTAAAAGGTACAGAAGGATACCTGCAATATCAAATATATTTTATCATGGGTCCTACTGGACCTTTGTAGGCTTCTATAAAACCTTGAGTTCTGACAGAACGCTGTCCAACCGCCTGTCTTTTAAAGACTTGAAAGGCCTCTTCTCATTGCCTGGCCAAGCGTGCGCTTCTTTTAACTGTCACTTCTAATGCTTAAGTAGCAAAATGAGCAAATGCTTCTCTTAACATAAGCTTGATAATACAGCAACCCACTGAGGGCTGAGCTATCGGATTACTAAACATTTTCAGGATTATATATGAGAATTAAATGTTGCTGTATTTTGAAATTTTAAATACCATTTTTTTAAAAAACTTGTTAAAAGTTTTACAAAGCACATAAAAACTAACACAAACTAATAAAGAGTAGAAACAGGAAAGAAGAAAGGAAAGAGAAAAAGCAAAAGTGCAGAAAAAAGTAAAAAAAAAAATAGGATTCTGATTTTCTCTGCAGCGAATATAAGTACAATTACAAAATTATCTTTTACTCTATGATTCCAAAATAAAGCTCACTTTTTTCTATTATCCATTTTTTTTCTAATCATCAAAACCACAAATCATAAGTGCATTTTTTGGTTTCTTGCAAAAAGTCTATAAGAGGTTTCCAGTCAACCATAAATGTAGATATTGCTTTTTCTCTGATCAAAAAGGTTAATTTAGCCATCTCTGCAAGTTCCATCATCTTCACTAACCAATCCTCCATTGTAGGTAGTGTCGAACCTTTCCATTTTTGACCATATAATAGTCTTGCTGCAGTTGTCATATATAAAAACAAAGTTCCATGACTTTTTTCTAATTGCTTGTCCATTAGTCCCACAAGAAAAGTCTCTGGATTCAGTTGTACTTTAACCTTTAAAATCTTCTGAATTAATGCATGTATTTGTATCCATTTTTTTTTTTTTTTGGCTTTTTTACATGTCCAGCAAACATGATAAAATGTCCCTTCATGTTGTTCACATTTGCAATAAAGATTTGAAGTACCTTTATACATTTTACACAATTTCTCTGGTGACAAATACCAACAATACACCAGTTTATAAAAATTCTCGTTATTTATTTATTAAATATTATTATTATTTATTTATATATTTATTATTATTAGAATTTTATAAAAATTCTCTTTACATTCTTTCACTCTTCTGTCTCATATTTCAGCAAAAGTGTATACATTTTTGCAATAACATGTTCATCATTAGTACATAATTCAATTTCAAACTCAGTCTTACTTTGTTCAAAACCATAAAATCTTTTATCCACTTTAAACCTTTCTGTTAATTGTACATAAAATCATTGACAAGAATATTCTTCTGTTATCAAATCTTCTCTTGATTTCATGTTATAATCCCCCTGAGAAAATTCTTGTACATCTCAGTAGGTTAACTGTTTATGTTTACTTATTTCTCATTTATAAAATGCTTCTTGTGCTGAAAGGCATAAAGGTGTTTTCAGGCAAAACCTTTATATTTATTCCATACTCTAAGAATAGCTTGTCTAACATAATGATTTTTAAAGTCTATATTCACCTTAGCTTTATCATACCATAGATATCCATACCACCCAAATCTCAAATCATGACCTTCTAAATCCAATAACCTTCTATTTCTTAGCCACACCCACTTGTTCATCCAACTAAACAGCAAGCAGCAAAATATAGTTTCAAATCTGGTAAGCCAAATCCTCCTATTTCCTTTTTATCTTGTAGTACCTTATATTTAACTCATGTTTTTTCCCTTGCCATACAAATTTAGCTATATCCTTCTGCCATTGTTTAAATGATACATCAGTTGTCAAAACAGGTATTATCTGAAACAAAAATAGTATTCTGGGTAAAACATTCATCTTGATCACAGAAATTCTCCCCAACAGGGACAATTGTACTTTGTCCCATCTTGACATAACTTTTTTAACTTCATTCCATGTCTTAACATAATTTTTTTAAATAACATACAGTTCATATTTGTCATAATTATATTCAATATTTTACCTTCTTCTATCTTGAAATCCATTTTATTCATCACTTCTGTTTAGACTTGCAACTTCATATTTTTTGTTAACATTGTTGTCTTCTGTTTATTAATCTTAAAGCCTGCTAATGTCTCAAATTCTTTTAATTTACTCACTAAAAGTTCAATTCCCTTTAAACAGTCTGCAAAATCAAAACTAAGTCATTTGCAGAAGCTCTTAACTTGTATGACTCTTTTTTAATCTTTACAACCGTGATTCTCTCATCTTGCCTTTTATCTCTATTTAATATTTCAAGAACTAAAAAAAGGAGACAGTGGGCAACCTTGTCTTGTTCCTTTTTATATCTCACATTATTTAGTTAAATCTCCATTAACAATTATTTGTGCTGTCTGTGAAGTATAAATTGATTTTACCTCTTTTATAAAATTCTCCCCAAAATTCTTATCTTCTAAAAACTTAAACAAAAAAAATCCAGTTCAAATTGTCAGAAGCCTCCTCTGCATCTAAAAAGATCAATATGGCTTGTTTTTTGTTCTGTTGTTCCAAATATTCCAAAATGTCCAACACAGTTCTAACGTTATCTTTCAACGGTCTTTTAAGTAAAAACCCCCATCAATCCTCATGAATAAATTCTTGCAAAATTATTTTCAGTCTTTCAGCTAAAATCATTGTAAACAATTTGTAGTCATTATTCAATTATTATATTGGTCTGTAATTTCTTACTGAAGTCAAAACTTGTCCCTCTTTAGGTATTAATGTTATATTGGCCTCTTTCCAAGTTTCTGGTATCCTTCCTCCTTGTAGAATAGAATTCATCGTACTTTGTAATGGTTGTAAAAGTTCATCCTCAAAACACTCATAATGCAAACTTGATAGTCCATCTGGTCCAGACATCTTTCCTGGTTTACTGTTTTTAATTGCTTCTGAGATTTCCCTTACTGTTATAGGTCTATTCATAATTTGTCCTTGTTCATCTGTAATCCTCGGTAAATTTTGTTTTCTAAGATATTAATCTATTTTCTCCAAGGGGAGAAATGCTAAATACCAATTTTAATCTACAGTTTCAAGGCAGATTAGAAATGTAAGAAATAAAAGAAGTACACAGTTAATAATTTTTACTTATTGCATTTGAATCCCACCTATATTTTGTACAACTCAAGGCACCATATGTAATGCTCCCCACTTTCCCCATAACAACCAGCTTGTGAGCTGGTCAAGCCTGAGAGAGAGTATGACTGGCCCAAAGTCACCCATCCAATTTTCACACTTGTGGGAAGACAATAATTCATAATCTCCTAGTTTCCAGTCTAGCATCTTATCCGCTACATGAAATGGGCTATGTATACAATGAGGGCACAAATCCATCTTTCAATTTTTGACTACCATTTCAATACATCTTATTACCATCTCAAGTTTTAAATATGGTAGGAAATGCAAAATACAATAGTAGGTCCTATTTCAACTTTTTGGGTGGGGGGGGACATTGGAAAAGCAGTTGCATACATGTTTCTCAATTTTAATAATGAACATCTATTCAATCTTTTCTGTTTATTAATTTAAGATGTTTATTCTTTATTTTTGATATGCATCTAGTAACAAAACAAACATGTTGGATTTTAAGTGAAAAATCTACCATTACATTCTATATATAGCTCAACGTCTCTATGAGCAGACTTCCTTGAGAAAATTGAATGACTTTAGTATTTGAAAAAGACTGAATACATATGTTTTTCTTATTTTAGCATATTTCATTCTTTTTGCCATTGTAGTTAAATCACTTTTTAAAAATTGCAGATTCATTAATATGCATGATTCCTATATTTCCCACATGAAGCTACTGACATGTTTATTTGTTACACATGAAGAGCTTCCATACAGTCATACAA